AGGACTCACTCCTAATAACGCTGTAATGAAAATAAATCGTTACATTTGTAAGAGTATCGTATCTTCTTCGCGCTACCGTGGGCGTGTACATCCACCAAACTTACTTTCTTTTTCTTTTCTTCTTCCTTCTTCTCTTCTCTTCTCTTCTCTTCTCTTCTCTCCTCTTCTCTTCTCTTCTCTTCTCTTTTCTTTTCTTTTCACGATTTCGTTTTTCCTCTTTCACACCCTCCCAACCAACCAACCAACCAACCAACCAACCAACCAACCAACCTACTACACGCCACCTGTTTGATTCTCTCTACGTAAGGTAACATCCGCGCACAACTATTTGTCTATTTCGGTGTTCTTTATTCTGGTATCTTCGAATCTACTCTATATCCCTTCCCCGAATCTACTAGACTTTCGCTCCCCCTTTTTTTCTTTCAACCCTTCTACCATCTTCTTTCTATACCATGACATCCGGAACACCTACAACATCTACCTCCAACCTCTTTCATCCAATCCTCCCCAACTTTTCCTGGACTCTCCTCGCATCGCCACCCCGATACGACGATCCATTTCAATTTCGTGGAAATCTCTTTCGAGTCTCCTTACGTCCAAGTCTTACCTGCGTTCGACGTCTCCCCTTCTTCCTCATCCCTTCCCATTCTTTCTCTCTCTCTCTCTCTCTCTCTCTCTCTCTCTTTCTTTTTTTTTCTCTTTCTCTCCCTCTCTCTCCCACTTCCACGTAATTGTAAGTATAAATTCCCCTCGCGTTCTCTCATCGTTTTATATCGACGAATCTGAAAGAGATGAAAAGAGGGAGAAAACACGAAGAAAGAGTAAATGTGTAAGAGAGAAAGAGAGAGAGAGAGAGAGAGAGAGAGAGAGAGAGGAGGAGGAGGAAAGTAAAGCAAAAAGAGGAAAAAAAATATTGACCGCGCAAGATTTTCTCTTAGATAAGACCTTACTACCCCATCTTTATTTTTTTTGTCCACTTTGTTTTTGTTTTTCTTCTCGTTTGTTTTCTTTTTTTTTCTTTTCTTTTTTTTCTTTTTTTTTTATTGTACAATCTAATAATAATAGAGCATTCGATAGTAATAGTAGTAATAATAATAACAATCGTTATCATACATTATCAATAATAATAAAACAATAATAATTGTAATCGTGATAATAATAATAATAATAATAATAATAATAATAATAATAATAATAATAATAAAATAATATTAATAATAAAATAACAAAAGCGCAAGATATAGCAACAATATTATTTACAACCAAAAGAGTCTCTCTTATACTTATACACTTAAATTATTTTGAGAAAATATTTTTTTTTCTTATTCTTTTTGTTTTTGTTTCTCTTTCTTCTTTTTTTTTTCTTTCTTTATTTTTTTTTTTTTTTTTTTTTTTTACAGAGCCGCACGTACGTATGCATAACCAAAAGAATACGCGCGACACGCAAATTAATGCATTGTTTTATCCTTGAGTTTTTTTTTTCTTCTTTTTTTTTATGATTTTTTTTTCTTTTTCTTTTTCGCATTCTCTGATATTTCTTTCATTATGTTTTCTTTTTTTTGCCTTTCTTGTTTTCTGCGCGCGAAGGTTTCGTTCGTCTTTCTCCTTCTTTCCAAATTACTACTATTTAACTTTTTTTTTACGTACAAACACGAACGCACGCAAGTACGCACGCATGTACGTAAGCACACGTATGCATGCACGCAAACATGCCATCATTTTCTCTCTCTCTCTCTCACTCCCCGCTTTCCGTCTTTACTTTATTTTCTCTATTATTTTCTTGCGCCGAATCGCTCTCAAACAAAATACGACAATGTCAAAATCTTTTCTTTCCTTTTTATAATTAATAAATATATATATATATATATATATATATATATATATATATATATTAGTTATGTTTATATATATATTCATTCATTTATTTATACATATGCAATAAGTACTATTATAATTAAAAGTCTGTCACCTTGCTTACTCTGATTAAATTATATGTATATATATGTGTGTGTGTGTGTGTGTGTGTGTGTGTATGTGTGTGTATGTGTATGTGTATATATATGTATATATATGTATATGTGTATATGTATATATATATATATTTTATTAGAATAGTTCGTTTAAAAACTATATATACGCACATATATATTATATATACATATACATATACATATACATATACATATACATATACATATACATATACATATATATATACATATACATATACATATACATATACATATACATATACATATACATATACATTTACGTATCCACATACACGTACGTATATATATACATATACATGTGTATGTTTGTGACATCGATCTTTTATTTTTAATGTTTATTATTCGATGAAAAGAATATAACAAATATTTGTTCAATTCTTACTCCTCTCTCTTTTTCTCTCTCTTTCTCTCTCTCTCTCTCTCTCTCTCTTTTGTTTCTCTTTCGTATCATGTCTCGTCGAATTGATATCACCTGTTGTAAGATAATA